AGTGGTCTGTCGCTGGATGAAAGGCTCATCTGCTCATGCATTAGGCGCTTAAAACCATCCTTATCGTGTGGCCCGAATTGCATCCCTTCCGCCATACTAAAGGCTTATGGTAATATGTTTGCCCCAGCACTGACTTCAATATTTAATAACTGCATGCTTCTACATTTCCTATTATTTGGAAAACTGTGCGTGTTTTTGCAGTATATAAGGGGGGACGCGGCTTTGGCATCGCGAAATTTGGCCAAAAAATCGATTTTCTGAAAATCTCATTTTCACATTCTGTGACCCCTTTTCTATCTAATTTCGAAGTTTCGTCCCTGAAAACAGCGTAGAAATGACGTAAAAATTTTTAACGAAGCTAGGGTGGCGATGAATTTCACGGAAATTGCGAAAAAACGGCGTTTTTCGAACCGCGATATCTCCGCAACCACGTAACCTAGCGCCGCCATCTTTGTCTCTATGGATAGCGCGATTCTTCAGTTTCAAATTTGCCGCCTCGGCCGGCTGAACCAGGCAAGAGCAAGCCCAGAGCAAGCCAAAGTGTAAAGGTATCACAACAGTTTCCGATTGGCGACGCGTGTCACGTGACTGTACGGCGGCTCCGCATTGGTTGCCCGTGCGGTCGCTTGTAGCAATCGGCGCAAAGGTCGCCTGCTCTACGCGCTGACAGCGCTGACGGGCCGCTTACTGCATTTGTTTTCAACTCGTCGCGGCGTGGTTTCGAGATCGCATCGCGCTGCGATAAGACCGGCGCTCGTGAAAGGAGAAAAACGTTGTTATCCAGTTTGGCGCATTGCAGTTTTGTGATCAGTTCCCGCATGCGATCATGGACCGGCGATCGTTCAAGAAGAAACGCAAGACTGCGCAGCGATTTGGTGCTCGTAAGCCGAAGCCGCCGATCGTGAAAAAGAAATTCAGTCCGGCAACTTCTGCGAGCAGCGACGACGGCGTGCGGCACGACGAGGACTCGCAGCCGAGCACAAGCACGCACGGAGCATCGACGAAACTGTTCATATGCCTGTGGAGCAGTGCTTTGTGCTGTCTGAGGAAACATCCGTTCGTCGTTCCGCGCAGGCTGCAGACATCGCGGATGCCTAGCCTAGCACTTCGCGCGAGGATGTAGACATCGCGGATGCTGAGCCAAGTACTTCGCGCGAGGATGCGAGGCCGTCTACCAGCACCACCAGTAGCACGATTCGGGCCCGATTAGAGCCTCGTTTCGTGTCAGCGGAGGCATCTCGCGAACGCGCCGCGGCTGTTCAGGTGCCAGGGCAAAAAAACTCAAAATGCTGCCGAAAGTCTGCACTCAATTATTTGGTCAATTCTGCCCAAAGAAGAGCTTCACTGATAGCCGCAGAAACTGCTGTCAGTGAAGCAATCTGTAGGTATAATGCTGGGAACCTCCATGCCTACACCCAACTTTGCACATCTCTTGGTCTCCAACCTGGACGCCATGCACTTCGTAGAGCAGCCGAAAAAGATGCCATGCGGGAAAAAAAAAAAAGGCTGCGAAAGCTCATCAGGCTAAAGGTCAGATGGCCAAGAGACGCCGCACTGCAAAGGACACTAAGGACTACAACCCTGGTGCCTGTTAGGCATGTAAACCGTGACTCAAGACTTTGAACCTCGTTTTCTCAATACTGTTTTTTTGGCATGTTGCTCAGCTCGTGGAGCAGATATCTTCGCAACTACTTGACAGATTTTGATTCTGTTTTTTTTTTTTTGTAATGCTCCTTAAACTGTGCTTCCGGGGGCTGCGTTCTTATTTTTAAAATTTAGTCTTTCAAAAATTTTTGGTAGGGTTTCTTGTTTGTAGTGCAAATGTGCTCATTGAAGTATCAGTGGAGAAAACATGAACTACAAATTTTAGTGTTGCAAAAAAATTATTTTGAAAACGCAGCCCCCTAGAGCATACATTCACCTCTGCACACAGTTTTTACCAACTTTCTATGTCATTTTTTAAACTCTCCAGCCGCTCCACGAGGTCCAGTAATGAAATTTTTTGTTTCTCAGAAAGTTTTCATGATATCATCTTGAAATTTTTATGGAAGCATTATGAGGTCATTCTTAGTCTCTGTGCCAATTTTCATCAAGATCTAACCAGAAACAAGAAAGTTCGTTCCGAAAGGCACGTCCCCCCATAAGTCAGGCTGCACAACTACTGTTTCTAATTATCGCCCGATTTTTCTACTGTGTGCCACATCGAAGATCTTCAAGCTGGCTTTTCACATACATATTGCATGCTAGCGTGAATAATGCATTGATTTCTAATCAATGCATGTTTATTCCTGGCCACTCAACTACCACAAATCTCACTAGTTTTATGACGCAAATCGCCCCACCTCTCTCTCAGACTCGGAGGACAGGTTGACATAGTATACTGTGATTTGAGCAAGGCTTTTAACGTAGTCAGGCACTGTTTTTGGTTAAACTGGTAAACTTTGATGTTGACTCTTCTGTTGTGAATTTCCTGCTCAACTATCTCCTTAATAGATCATGTCATGCTGTCGTAAATGGCCAAACGTCCTCCTTGTTCAAAGTAACAAGTGTAGTCCCTCAAGGGTCGCAATTAGGCCCACTTTTATTTTAGAGGCGAAGCTCCTTACGCTGTGGGTCGTATACCGTATCGTTGTAGTCCTCGTAGTAGCCAGTTGCATTGCATGTCAATAAAAATTGTGTCACAGCATATCCACGGAGTGAGGAATGTTGAGCGGGGCGAAGTGTCCACTAGTCCGTTCGTGCTTTCGTCTGTTTGTGCGTCTGTCCGCTTTGCCCCACACGTCATCATTCGCCTCGTGGATATTTGTGATTTTTTAAATTTGTGCTAATGATGTTTCTTTTGCAATTCATTATTCTTCTTTTCCCTTGTATGCTGGTAACATCAAGATATTTAAGAAAATTTATTCAGATAACGACTGTCGCATGCTACAGTCAGATTTGTGTTATTCTTTCTCCGAATAGTATGACAACAATATAACCTGTCTTTGAATACCTCAAAAACCGAAATCATGAGTACATCTCGCAAAACATCCATTGTGTTATTTCCATACTCTAGTCAATACCGTGTTGTTATGTAAGGTTTATGAATTCAGTGATCTCAGTGTTCTTTTTGACAGCATGCTGTCTTCCCTTTTCTTGCAGGTTTCTTTTTGTCTGTGCACTTTCACTGTTCTTATTTGATTTCTTTTTCTGAAGACTATTTTATTGTTAATTGTTATAGCTATTTCTTTGCATGCACCTGCACTAAGACCTCGTGGTTGTTCCGAGGCACGTAAAATAAATGATTATTTGATTGATGGATTATTATTATTATTTATTAAGAGAATGCAGATGGATGAGTGTCAAACTGTAAGGGGGGGACTATTTTGTGCGCGTTAAAGGAGGGAGGTATAAAGACCTCTTGGGTAAGCAGGCAAGGTGTTGAGGTCGTGTGTATACCTGTCACATACATGCCATGTCTTATATATAAAGGTTCACTCTCTAAAAATTTTTAAAAGCATATAATTATAATAGTAAAAGTTCAGCACTTTGAATATGGGACCTATAAGACTCGACAATTGCCTAATAAAAACAAGATAGATTCGGAGTAAATGCAAACATTCTGCACTTTGTGTAACATAATCCTTGAAGTGCACATCTTTTCATATATGATTAATGTTCTTGCGGAACATTTTACTATATTACATCGACAACGTATTGCCTTGTTCACATGTTCATTGGAACTGTAAAGACTTATTAAAAACTGACAACCTCACAACCTATATAATATGATGTGTTCAAGTTGACAATAATTTTTCGAAAATTTCCTGCTTCCATTTACTGCTGTGCAGATATAATGTACTGTGTGTGCACGGTTGACTATTCCTGCATAGAGAGAAAAACAGAGCTGTGCCATGGAGTTGGAGTGTTTTTATACGTAGCATGTATGCTGTTTTCTTACACTCTTTCTCATCTCATATACACCTTCACACACTGTGATGAACCAGAAGCACAAAAATGTGTTTTGCGAACAATCAAATGTTGTTTTTAGCTCACACAGGCCTGTAGAAGAGTGTGAATCGGAAGAAAATACCACAAACCTCATTATAACAAACTTGCATATTACACGAAAATAAGTTCGTTATATCCAAAAATTTGTAATAGATTTATATTCCTAACACTATATCTATTGCAGGACTATATTTACTTCATTAAAACCAATATTTTGTTATATAAGGGTTTGTTATACTGAGGTGGGAGGGTATATCAGATAACCATGAAATGCAAGTGAACAAGATGATGTTGACACGTTGGAGGATTGTCGCATACACGTGTATACAAATTATGTAACATCATGCTGTAGATAGAACACACACATTTATAGCCCCGTCGCAGTGGTCTAGTGGCTAAGGTACTCGGCTGCTGACCTGCAGGTCACGGGATCTAATCGCGGCTGTGGCGGCTGCATTTCTGATGGAGATGGAAATGTTTTAGGCCTGTGTACTCAGATTTGGTTGCACGTTAAAGAACCCCAGGTGGTCGAAATTTCTGGAGCCCTCCACTACGGCATCTCTCATAATCATATGGTGGTTTTGGGACGTTAAACTCCACATATCATCATCATCATCACACACATTTATAGATAGGTTGTGGGTTGCAAGTAAACATATCAGCTGTGGAATGTTAGATGTTGAGCAAATGTAGGCAGCACAAAAACATAAATACTTCCCGTATGCATTCCATTATATATGCATTATGTGTCAATACTCGTCAATTACATCACATCAATTAGACATGTCAATTATACACGTCAATTATATAATTTGCAGTTTATGGATTATAGGTCATCGTTAGCTTTACGGGATCACAATTCTGTTCTTTTTTTAGTTGCTTGTTTTAAGATTTTTGTAGAACCCCTACCATTTATACATTTGTAAGATGTTTTGTTGGTCATGATTTCTCTTTACAAGCCAAGTAGATGTATTGTCCGTGGTAAATGCAATATTGCAATTTTATTTCAGGTTTCACCAGCAGGCCCTGATCGAAGTGAAGATATTAGACCACTTGAAGAAGAAAGACAAGGACCAGTATCACAACGTCATACACATGTATGACTATTTCTACTTTAGGAACCACTTATGCATCACGTTTGAGCTCATGGGGTGAGTGACCTTTCTCAATCATAACACAGCTTTGCACACTTCTTGTTTATGCTAAGCAGGAATTCCATTACATACTAACTAAATTTTATAGCATATACATAGCTGCTAGGCTCAGTGGTCATTTACACTTGGTGATGAACAAAGAATCATAAGTACATATACTCCGGCTATGTCAGCCAAAGATTAGAGTGGCATGAGCACTGCGGTCCAATTCAGAGAAGCTCTTAGATTTGCCAGGCCAGTCATCAATATATATATATATATATATATATATATATATATATATATATAGTGTTCGTGTGTACATCGCTAGTGCATATTAAAAAAACCTTTCATGTGAACAACGTACCCACACAGCCTCGAAGGCCCATCTTTTTCTTCTGCATGTGAGTTCTCAAAAAAAAAAAAAGTGGAGTCCACAAGCAGGCTTTTACGAACAATCAAACCTTTATTATCAACATACATCAAAGCTGAGACACACATGACTCACAGTCCGCAGCCGCAATTGTGAAAGTGTGTATGCAGCCTTACAAGATTTCAGTGTTCAATACCCTTCCGCCTTCAAGTGCAATGGCTTCTTAGGTGGCAGCAATTGATTCTTTGCGGGTTGACTAAATTATTAGCAGCAGACCCAACTCGTGCGTGTCTATGGCAATATTATTCTATTAACTGCAATACGTGCATACGGACAAGCATAGGAGAAACACTATTGGGTATTGCACACGCTTCTAAAGAAGGTGCAGAGACACTGTCTACCTGCTCGTCAGTCGGTTGATAGCAAGGAATAAGTGAGGAAATAAAGAACTGGAAGCATGCCACGTATTAGCAGGGCTTATACAATGATGGGCAATAGTTAACGCATTATAGGAATAGATAAATGTCCGATATGAGACGTAAAAAACATATATTTAACACATGGCCTTATCTGTGCCGTGCGAGTGAGCGGGGTTGCTTCTTGCTGTAGTAATCTCAGCCGAAAAAAGTGGTGGGCTCGTGCCACCTTTCGGTGTTTCTTCTAGAAGAGTCATCCTTCATAACTTCGCATATTGCTGTTGATGTCCATACGGGCGCACTTGAAAAAAAAAATCTGCCTTCTGCTGCTTGGAGCCTAGGAGACCGGCTCAGCATACATACGTGCGACCCGACACGAACACCCTCCTTTCCCATGCTTCTTCCCTCAGTGTGCGCCACTGGTCAAGCAGATTTCGGGACAATGGAACGCGTTTTCTCCCAAAACATCCAGAGGGGTATGGCTAGCATGACGTATATGTTCAAATTATTTGAGCAACTGTGGTGCACTGCTTGTTGAAAGGTGTCGAGGCTGGTGCATGGAAGTTTGCCTACATGATGACTGCTATGATGCGCTCGATCCGCACTTTCGTCAGTTCACATGCGATAATAATAACACTAAATGCATTCTTTCTTATGACATACGATATAATTATTGAATCAACCGGATTGTTTTGCTTCAGGAAGCAAAATTATTTGGCATCCTGGAATCAAATGTGTGTGCCAAAATTTGAATAAATTTTATAGTAGCCTTTTTAACGAAATGTTACAAGATTGTCACCCGGGATTCTGCAGATCTCTATATGTTTTCACTACATTCTAACTTTACAATAATTGATGAGTAAATGCACATATCCTTGGCAGTCAACATTCAAAACTTAATGTCTGGTCGGTAATTCACTTTGGACGTCCAGAGAACAGCCACACCGGATATGGATTTTAACAGTACGTCTAGTGGCTATTCGTGTTGGATATCCATACGGCCAGACATTTGTATTCAGAATGGGCAGCGAGCAGATATCCGTGATTATTTGGGTTTAGTTCTGCTCATAAGTTAGCGATTCTGGAAGCAAAAAGAACTTTTACTGCCGGTAATATTATTCAGCATGCATACTAGATACAGAAAGGTGCAGCGAATGATTAAGTGCATGAGCTGTGTTGAAAAGCAGAAGCCTACATATGTAATTGTGTTCATCATATTTTGTTTACTGGATTGTGCTTATATATTCCGTGGACTGTCAGTAAATGGAAGCCTTATATGGAATTACTGCTCAAATGGAACAACTGCCTACAATATGATTGGCTTCATACTTGACTTTAGCAACCTTGATCATTTTTCAGTTAATATGGAACTCATATCAAATAGAACATATGTTCCTGGTCCTTTTACGTACTGTTTAACAAGAATATACTGCAAATATTATATATTATAGAAGCAATCACACACTTACTACAGGAACCACAAGTTAAGGAATGCACAGCAAGTTCTCTTTGTGATTTCATATATATGTGACCAAAAGGTGTGCATGTAAAAAACACCACTCATGTTGACAGTCGACATAGCCATTCAAATGTTCACTCAATTGCAAATCAAAAAAAGCTAAGCGATTCACTGTGCCACATGGTAGCATTTCATGCTTTGAAACGTTTGTCGTGCAGAATGAACCTCTACGAGCTCGTCAAGAACAACAGCTACCAGGGCTTCAGCCTGAATCTCATTAGGAGGTTTGCCTATTCGCTCGTGCAGTGCCTACGGCTCCTCCACCGGGAAAAGATTATACACTGTGATCTCAAGCCTGTAAGTTGACATAGAGCAGCGTTCGCACCATAGTGCACAGCCTTCATAAAGTGTCAATCACTCATGGCTTTGGTCCTTCAACTGTATAATATAGTGCTGCAAAAGCTATCGGTTGTGTCAGCCAATCACGAAGAGTATTAGGCTGATTTAATGACTTCACTACTGTATCACCCTGAATTCTCTTTAACGCTGACCGAATGAAAGCACCATGGAAGCATTATTAGTGCAGTGCTATGCACTTCTTGAAAACATATGGCTCAATGCTTTGTAACTGTTAAACAAAATAAGGGAGATTGATAGAAGGCTCTCCCTTTCACTATAGATACAACTATATGAAAAAAGTTTTCATTTGAAGTGAAGTAACATGATATAAATGTAATTGAAAGTGCATGAAAACAACTTGCCACATGTGTTGCCCAAACCCACAACCTTCGCATATTAAATGGGCTGCCTGTCAAAGAAGTTCTGACCTCTTCCCTGAATATGTGGGATGTAAGTGCAGCTAGGCTTTCGCGTGTGCTGCACGCAGGGAAATGATGGTGTTCTTTTGACATTGCTTACACAGGAAAACATTCTTCTCAAACAAAGGGGCAGCAGCGCCATCAAGGTGATAGACTTTGGTAGCTCCTGCTTTGTACACCAAAGGGTCTACACATACATCCAGTCCCGGTTCTACCGCTCGCCAGAGGCAAGTATTTTTGTTCACCCTCATACTTACAAGGCCATCCTTTACCACAGCGTAAAATTTGCAAAAGAATTTTATCACTTTGTGTCACACTTTGACAGCAAGCTCCGCATTCTTCTCTCTTAAGTCTGTGAACATGTACAAATGATAACAGCATAAGAAAGCGCTGATTCGTGTTAATTGTAAAAGGAAAAGAAAGATAGTAGACAGGATCATTATACGGTGACAGAAAATTCCGATCAGCACTGCCCCAATTACTTGTCAACAGAGATCAGGGTAACGCGAAAAAGATGAACAAGTTCTGAATGAAAACTACGAGTGGCACAAAAGCAAGTACACCAGAGCAACACTGTGAAGGAGGAGGCAGAAGTTTTTTGTGGGGAAAGGGGTCTTTTATTTGTGTTCATCTGTATGTACTGTTTGTATGTGTGTACAACTTGTACAACACATACATGTAAAAATTACGGTGGCAGAAAAAGGTTGAGCTGCCCCTAAACCTATCCCTCAGGCTGTGCCAGTGGCGTTTTCCCTGTACACTCAAACCTCGATATAACGAACCCGGATATAACAAATTATCGGTTATCATGAAGTGAAGAATAGTTCTGTCACAGAGACAGTATTTCGGATATATGTATGTAACGAATCTTTGGATATAACTAAGCATTTTTGCGACAGATGTACCTTTTTTATAATGAGGTTTAAAGGGCCAGGAAACAACCTCGAGGTCCAAAAATTGTTATGAGAAATATTTGCACTTTTTCTTTGCGAACATGCGTGCTGCAAGGATTTTGCGAATACGTGCTATTAAGGAAAATACAGGCATGAGAAGTTCGATTTCAGTTGCTTGTTTCAAATTTTCGGGCGGCCTCGCCAGCCTTCTTCCTCAAAGGGAGGGGAAGGCATAGCCCGTCGTCGTGACTGCTTTAGACCATTCAACGAGCTGCATGCTACATCAAGTCGCAGGTGACTTTGTGTTACTGCACGTGAAAGCAGGATCGGTCAAGGCGTAGCAAAGGGGCGTGGGAATTGTTTTTTGAAATGGAGGCTATACGCGGCGCGTAGAGCTGTAATATTTGGAAAACGTGATCGCCACAATCTACTCTACTAATTGCGGAGCTTTTTTGTGGAGTGTAAAAAAAAGTGACCGGCCCTTTACTGGTGACTGGCCCTTTGAGAGCATATGCATTGCTGGGTCACCAAGTTAAGAAAGAGTGAATCAGCTACCAGCTAAGCCTAATGCCTCTTTCACAGCTTCACAGGGGTGGTAATTCAAGTTAGTTGGTTATTGGTGGTCTTCTAGAACAGCACATAAACATGAACAAGTAAGAGGAAATGTAAAGTTTGTATAAGTATTGCTCATAATGCTATGTTCACATGCAAAGCTTGACAGTTTGTTCAGTGCCAGCCAGTTACATTTAGGTAGGGAAAGGACTCCGTCATTATATATGCTATTCAGTTGGTACAGGACTTGTTCTATAATGTCTGTTTGCATTCCTACACTACAGGATAAGTGACTTGAAAGTGATAAGTTGAAAGTGATTTCTCTTGAATGTGCACAATCACAATCAATTGTGATGGTTATAGCTGGCATCCGAGGTGGTCGCCACTTTCAAAAAGCAATAACAACATACATTTGTCTGCATCCCTTTAATTGTTATGCGGACACAGGTGATCCTGGGCCTTCCGTACGGCACCGCCATCGACATCTGGAGCCTGGGTTGTATACTTGCTGAGCTGTACACAGGGCTCCCCTTGTTTCCCGGCGAACACGAGGCTGACCAGCTGGCCTGCATAATGGAGGTGCTTGGCCTGCCGCCACCTTGCGTCCTCGAGCTGGCAACACGTAGGAGGCTCTTCTTCGGTGAGGAGCACAACTTTTTAATCTTGTGGCCTGAATGTGTATTTTAAAGCAGACCTAGTGAAAGGTGTGAAGAATTTTGAGGGCTCACTCTTTTTTAGGGGCCAAGCTCCTTAGGCCAAGGTTCGTTCCCTCGACCTAAGGAGCTCCTCCTCCTTCCTCCGTATACGTATATGTATGTATGTAGCCACCACTAGTTTATGACTTGCTCAATCTGCATGTTGTGTACATTTCCTCGGAAATAATATAATTAGTTGGCATTTGTGGTTTTTAGAGCGTATTCACGGAATGAATGATGAGGAGTGGGGCGAAGCGTTTATCCGTTCATCTGTTTGTGCTTCCGTCCATTCATGTGTCTATGCTTCTCTTTATGCTTCCATTCGTCCATCCGTCCGCACTGCCTAGACAAATGCACACACGGACAGACACTTTGCCCCACTCATCATCATTCACTTCATGAATAAGCTGATTTTTTTTTGTTAGACACAACTGTAATGAGAATCAACAGCCAATCTGGAAAGGCTAGGAGAGTATAGGGGATATTATTCATAGTAATTGTGATATAAATGTGAAGAAATTAAAGTGAAACAAAAACTAGACAACTTGCTGCCGAAAGGAACCGAACCTGCAACCTTCGAATAAAGTGTCAATGCTATATGAATTGAGCTGTGGCGACAGTCATCCTCCTCTCCACTTTGTCGGGTATATCTGTGAATTTGAACTTGGCAGTCCCTGAGCACGTATGATGAACATTTCATGTCTTTAGGGCTTTCAAAAGCAAGAGGCGATTTGGTACACAAAGCAGATGTGCTGTTTGTGACTTATGTATAAATGTGATCCGATTAACGAGTTTGCCTCAATGCCATCCTTCACTTACTGTCTTATGGGCCTAGCTGAAAAAAGTTATGCCAACATGCACAGCTCCAGTTCATGTAGCTTTCAAGGTTGTCGAAACCACCTTTATTGGCGTTCAGAACTTCAAGACATTTGTTCATGCTTGGCCTATTTTCTTTCTCTTCCATTCTTTCAGACTCGAAGAACGTTCCTCGTCTAACTCAGAACAGCAAAGGAAAGAAGCGAAGACCAAACTCGAAAACGCTTGCTGCTGTTTTAGGCTGCAATGACGAGGAGTTCATCGACTTCCTTTCCCTTTGCCTCGTGTGAGTAACTCTCCTTTCTTTTCTTGATCTGTTAGTTTGTCAAAGCATAAAAAGAAAAAGAAACGTGGTAAAAAATTCAATTCACCTCTAAAATACTTGTATATTTGAGGGGTACTCTACCCTTTCAAGCATTCAGGATGACAAATGCCTATGTATATATATAGCCTAAGCTGAAATGTGATGAGCTGCAAGGTGGGCTAGTTGTTGTTCATTCATCTTCAAATTTGCGCAGACACAGTCCATAAACAGTGAAGATTTTCACATTTCAGTCGTTTTCAAAGCTGTGCAGAGTGAACATAGGCACACTTTCAGAATGAGAAAATACAGGACACGCAATGCTGAACACAATTGTTGTGCTTGACATCACATAGCCTGTATTTTATCGTTCTGTACTGCGTCTGTGTTCACTATGCACACCTTTGAAAATGACCAGAATATTAAAAACTTTGCTTGTTAGTCTGTCAGCAATAGTTATGCCCTATGCGACAATTTGCATGTGCATAAGCTTAAGAGAGTACTAAAATGCCTCGCAAATGGAAAAACTGCACCAAAGAAAAAGTGCACTGAAGCAGTCGACTCGTATATCTGTGTGACTGGAAGCTGTGACAACCAAAGTTCTCCCTTTGTGATCGAAGATGGAACCCCGACACCCGAGTTACCCCCTGATGAGGCACTGAGGCACTCCTGGCTTGCCATGCCAAGGACTTCGAGGCAAATCTACAAGACAGTGCAGGCCATCACTGTTAAGGAGACGGAAACAGGCAAGTGCTTGTGAGATTCTTCTTCGCTGCATTTTCTTATTTAGCCACTTGACAGCAAGCATACATATAATCTGCCGTACTTGACACCCTCGCTTGAGAAGAAAACCTGTCTTAAATGCTGGCTGCACATACATAATAAGTGGTAAAGCAATGAGACCACATGGCTGCACTCAAGTCATGTGATATTCAATCAATCGGTCAATCAAAAATGTTTATTTGTTGCAAAAATACATAAATTCACCGGGGAAAGTATATACAGAAGTGATATTTGTTATCACTTTCCCAATACGCAGGAATTCATCAACTGTTTTTTTTTTGTTTTTCTTGAGAAACAACATTTAGATATGTGATGTGTCGTACCAGGTCATACTGGCATGCAATGGCGGCATGTGTGGCAGACAGCTAGTTATCATAATTTCTGTCTCGGCACATAAAACTTTTGTTTGAAAAGCTTCTCATGTATTTTTAATAATTTTTTTACATAACAAAGCAGATAAGACACAGTAACGATAGTTCAAAAAAAATTACCGAGTGTCACAGCCACCAAAGCAATGAGATCTAACCAAGCTAATTACAGCTGAGCTGTAATAAATATAACAGTGGCAGTAATGATGATAAACTTGATGACTGTGCTGCAGTTATAATGGCTGAATAATGATGTGTGAAAAATAATGGCTATGCGATGAATTAAACACTCGGCAACAGAGCTAAAGAGAATATTGTAAAAATATTTTTCTGCTAAAAAAAAAGAAACGAGATGGCAGTCGAAAACAGGCACCACAAAATTTGGCTAGAATATTCATTTCAAGCTTCGACGTTCTCACCCGCATTATACGAAAGTAGCCATAACACTTGCTGAAGTTAAAAAAAATGAGATGAAAGGAAAAGGAAGAATAGGATAGCCGATTTATATTTATGACAAAAAAAAAGCTGCACACGTACCACATAGCAGACACACGTACCACATAGCAGACTGTAAATGCACGCTACTTGCATTTGCATGTGTCCATACATTGAGCTGTTGTGATTGTGTGAAAAGAATTGGCTCACCATCTTCTTGGTACATATTTCTGGCTACTATGGTTGTGCAGCGGAATTAAATAAAGGCAGGAAAGGAATGCAGAACTTACGTGTACAAGCAAGTACTCACCGGGAACGTAGCTTTCGGCATGAAAAATATAGCGCTGTCTCGTCTAAGGTATTTCATGCCAGAACCAATCGTTTTGTAGCCGATGGCCAAGAGCGCGACATGTTACGCGATTCTGAAGTACATTTTTTGTTGCAAGGTCCTCGCTTCTGTGGCAGATAGAGAATTTGTGTCACACACATAGAAGAATGCATTGATGTTGCACTTTAAATAATGTAACTGCAGAATCATTTAAAGACTGCTATTTAAAGCTGCAAGATGGAAACGATTTTTATTTTGTTAGGCAGTTGAATAATTCAAGTATTAAAGGGTTAAGAAAAAGCTATTTTATCCAATCAATAGAGCTAGTCACAGAGCAGCAGCAGTTCACATTTTTCCCCTATTTTTTTTCTTTCCATTCACTCACGATGCACAAACTGAACACTTATAATTGGATGCAGCTTAAAAGTGAGCGGCATTTCCTCTTTAAAGGTGGATGCACAGAAGCCTCCACTAGTTGGTGCGCACTTTGAGCAGACATCGACAGCTGGACAGCCTTTGGAGAACATAGAGGAGCGCATGAGCAGGACTATCTTTTTTTTTTTTTTTCGCGGAGGCAATCGGCTGCCACGTTTCAATCATCTAGGTGGGGCCTCTACTTTTCAAGTTGTAGCTGTCTCTAATAACTCTAACAAGTTCACATGGTTCACATTCTCACTAAAATTGAGCGACTTGGCGTAGATGTTCTCAATTATCCTGTTTTTTTATGATAAATGCAGGTAGCTTATCAAACTCCTACAAGGTCTACAAGTGTGCCAGGCCGACCGAACAGAAAATTACGGAGCAGAGGAAAGCCACTACATCTAGCAGTGACACGAGCGCTTCATCCGAAGAGTCACGTGAGTGCCCACAGATATTCCCTTTCAAGCTGTGCTTAGATGGAAGCATCCGTAAGCTTGCGCAGGGTTCCTATTCAGAGAGGGGGACGAAGTTTTGTTGCAGCATCCCCCTCTCTATTAAGTCAATGTATGGGCAGGCAATGTATGGGGCAGGAAGTGGATGGTAATACAAAAGTGTCAATGAATTCTTTGCTGGGATCAGATGCCAGAGATGTTATACCTGGGAAAATGATAAGTGGGTATTGTATATAACGGGTTTCGACTGTACTTGGCAGACTTACTGTACTAATAAAGAAAAAAAAAAACTGAGGTCAAAGTTTAACTTGTAAATTTCACGTCGAAATCTCCACGCCTGATGTCACCGATTGCAAAGCATGTTTTTGTGTTTTTGGCGGCATTGGCTCAATGAAAATTCCTGAAACATGTTATATTGATTTTAAGGCCCCTTGAGAGTCAATGTGCTCATTTTTACACACCATGAGCCATGTAAAACCACGGTAGATACTCTCAAAGTTCATGACACCATGGAGTTTGGTTTGGGCATTTTAAGGTAGTGCCGCCACCTGCATATTTTTTTCTGCATTTTCTTGCACACCAAACGCCTTCTCGTGGCAAGAGTGCCGTATTTAGCATAGCGAAATTGTAATTTACTAATAAGCAAGAAAATATTTATATTTAGGTGTCCCTTTGCCCCAAGAAGACCATGTAAGCTATGTCATGGAAGTCCTTCTGTGAATGCTCGTTTTTTCTTTCTTTTTTAATGTGTAGCGCTTCTGCCAAGTAGCTCTGGTAGCCACTGTGGCAGCAGTCAGCAACGGTCACAAGTTCCACGGTGATCCTCTCCAGGACTCCGGCACCTTCCTGCCGCCCATCCTGTGACGCCAGCTTGACGTCCAAGCCAGATAGGCGAGCCACTTGCAAGCGGCCGGCTGCACACAAACTGAAGAGATCACCTCGCCACCTGCTGCGTTGTGAAAGGCTAACATGCGCAAGATATGCTTGCGCTGCAAGGAGTACATCTAGCTTGGCTGTTGGTCTACCGTATTGTTTGCAGCCTACCTATTTTTTGTTTCGTTTATGTGCGATGTACGTGAATGTGACTTCTCGGCTAAACTTTGACTGAATGAGTGTACCAGTTGTACTGCACACATACGTATTGAGAAACACGCACTTGCCTATAGTTGCTAGCCGTGTTTGTGGCATAACCGCAGCAGCAAAAATGAAAAAAAAAGTACGTGTCAGCAGTACAATGCTCCCATAAAAAATGGCCTCACTGGTCAGAATCCCCAAAACCCTTCAGTTCTTGTCCTGTCATTTCCTTTCCTTTTTTGGTAAATCAAGCAAATTAATGGCGACTGTACTGCAAGGCATTTGATTCTTGAACTCTTATGACCAATTCAGCCACTTTTGCACTGAGTTACCCTCACTTGGCATGAGGTGGCTCTCCAAAAAAGAAAAAAAATGAATCCAACTTTTGTCTGCCTTGCTATCGTAATACCTATGTTGGTTCCACGTTATTTGAAAGGATTATTGCCATTTTCTTCTTTATTTATTTTCATCTATTTAGCAAGTGTGACAGTGGCTTTAGAAGCGTTATGTAATGCTGTCAAGCCTGCTAAATAACCTTTCAGTGCTTTTGGCTTAACTCTTGAGCTTTACTGCACATTGTAACGATGGCAGGGTTGCACATAGTGTACAATATGAGGCCTTGGATGCAAGGCAACGAGTGCGTCATTTCGGCAACTCAACAATGTATTTGATGAGAAAAGCTCTGTTGGACATATCGTCCCTTTGACAGACTTTTGTCACTGAATGTGTGTAAAACTTGAGCATTTCTTTTGCCTAGCATATGTTAAATGTGATCTTGTGTATTTACCCGTCACAAAGATGCCCAGGCGCTACACGACCCTCATATCCTTTGGCAACAATCATCATCGACCTGAAACCCTCGCAGTAGTTATGAAGATTTGTGATGTAGCAGAAGAAAAAAGATTCTCAAGATTTCCATTCTATGCTGCACCACCTGAAAATTTCCACTTTCAGCTTCAGAGTTGTAACGGGGTATCAGTAATGTAACTGCGGTTGCTAAATAGATAATACTGTTCCTGACGACATGACCCGCTGGTTACCATCCCCGCTGTTTTGTCGAGCCTTGGCTTTGTCACAGTGCCAGTCGTGTTCAAAATGTCACATCACCCACAATCAATCTGTCCAATTTAGTGCGATTTAAATCAGTTACAGGTTGTGGCTTCGTAGGTGACATTTGTAATGCTATCACTTAAAAGCGATTATTTTGCACTGACTCGTAGCGATTCCAGCATTTCAGCCTGAATTAACAAGGTCGCGTTTGTACTCGACAGCATTCAGACACTCGTAGGTAGTTGGTTTTCAGAGTGGTTAATGTAATGCTGACGATATAAGGCATACAGTGATTTAACACGTTAAGACAGCACTTGTGCAGAGACACAATGTGTGAGAGATTGGTTTAGTTATAGTTACAGTGGCCATACATAACAAACAAAAAGGGGGTGCAGAGAAAGAAATGCGCCAGGACTGCGCCCAGTCTACAGTTCCTATCGTTAATGATAGTATGTCGAATTTAAGCTGCTACTACGACTGTGAACAGTAAGCTGCAAACAGTAGCACTACGCACCAAGTTATTGCAATGTTGGTGCAGCCACATATGCAGGACACTGTGCAAGTGCCAGTCTGGCCACGAGGCTAGTTGCATTATGTCTTGGATCGTACAATCATCAGCTCATTACAGCGCCGGTCATGCTGAGACACTTTTAGTATGCAGCGAAGCCTGCACATTGCACTGTAAAACTGCGACCTGTAAATAAATACTGTGCATTCAAACTTAAAAGCAAAAGGCGAGTGAAATTGTTTTTCTTTGTTCAAGATGTGTATTGCTGGAGCACGCAGTCCAGTGCACACGGACTGTGGCTAGAGTCTGCAGCAATGTAAAACGAGAGCGGGAGCGGCACCTGTTGTGGCACTTCCCAGTTCACTTCAGCATTGTACAGCTGCACGTGGCATCACCCTACTGCAGAAGTCTCGTGTGAAATACGTATAGCTTTGTATTATAGTTGCAGTGTTGACTGCAGTGTCTTGTCACATGTTCTGTGCTGGTGTAATGTTCTTTTCCTCTTGTCGCTTCACTTGTCCCATATTGCAGAACTATCCTCTATGAACCTTCCATATAAAAAAAAAGATATTTCCTACCAGGTCTTGAGCCAGTCCTCCTTCTTGTGTCGTCAGGTTGCAGAAGCCCATAGAATGTAGCAGTGCAGTGTCAACATGGGGACGATTGCTTCATGTAACCAGAACTGTGGATTGCATGCCACAGCCGTTTACTAGAAAAGAAGATTTATGCATCTCGTACAATTTTGACAAGGTGAATGGCTTTGATAGTATTCTCTTGTGAAATATGCCACACCCAAGTCCTTGCTTAAGTTTGTCTGATAACTTTTTTCAAATAATTGCTCGCTTCTCAATTGCATTGTGAACGAGTGTTGCAGCCTCTGCAAAGGGTCCAGGTAGGACATGTGCATCTATACTTGTTAACAAGCGTATCCGAGAGTCCTGTACAGATGCTGGGTGACGTACCTTGCAACAAGGAGATGAAACACGCAGTGAAACACTACTGTATTTCTTGCACGCGCAGCTCTTGTTTCTTTTCCGCGACGAGTTGCAAGTGAGGTTGTGCTGCATGATAAGCAAAGCTATATACCTACCATGTGTTCCAGTTTCTAACAGAAATTACTCCGGAATTGCTGAACTCCTGGACACATGGGCAAGTAGGTGACGTATCGAACCGACGCTACCACAGACATATGTCCCCATGAAAGGAGCGAGGCCATTAGAATGTGTGCCTGGTGACTTGCCTTCCCTTCATCTCTAGGGTCAAAACAGGTTGCTGAATTTTCGAAAACATTATGACGGAGACCTTTAGGGTCTTCGTGGTCAAGTGTCTAAGCAAGGCTGCAAAAAAAAAAGAATATGCCCTTATTCCAAAATAAAATTTGAACCACTGGAATCTCAAATTATCATTAGATAAAACTGCAAAAATGAAACAGACGTTAATGCAATTACCATATGCAAAAGGTGGCGGACATAAAATACTATAGCCCCTTAGCAGAAAATAAGAGGACCAGCCAATGTACGGATCCCATATGTGGGACGATAGAATAGTTAGTAGTAGCTGTACTTTCGCCGTCATGCCTTTTGCCAGTGGCCTGAAACCACTATTAATTGCGTACAAAACTGCAAGGATGTTGGGGGCGATTGCCACGGGTGACTTCAACGCTTTTAAAGCACTGTGTACGTCATGCTTGTCAATTTTCTGTTCTTTATTTTTCTACAAAGCAGCAATCACAAAAAAAAGGGAGTGTATAACTTCAAACATTAAATAAGCATAATAAACAAGAAGAAATGTGCGAAGCATGTAGGACATTCGTACACATTACGTTCCTAGCACTCCTTCGATAGTAAATATGGGATGTTTTATGCAGAGATCAAATGCCCTCCCATAGTTTTACGAATGCCAGCACATGTTATTAATTATGAATTGTCACTTCTTACTGCATAAGGTGTATCGTACATACCACTGAATGGTTCCCTCTGAAAGCTAACTTGCCATTTACCGATATGATGCAGTCATGAAACTAGGAACATTTGTTGTTAGGATATGCAAGCATGTAAGCATCTGCTAATGCAGATTTGAATTTATCAGGTTTGCTTGTATTGCGGTGCACATCAGCTTTTCTTGCTATTAAAAACAGTCTTGGAAACACTATACCACACCCTGGCTTTTTTAAAGCAAATTTTACTGTCAAACTGTGGAGAAAAGTGAACAGTTAATTTACGTTGGGTTCAGTAGCACAAGAGCAAGCCTATGCTGCAATGAAAACAAAGACAGAATAAGAAACAGAATAGGATGAAGTTTGTTTTCGATAGAATAAAAGCAAATATTGCAATACTTTGTTGTTTGGTTTTAACTTCATTCTTGTCTTAATGATAACTGCTAGTATTTCTATTTAATGATAATTTTTTTTTATGCATGGCAGGATCAGAGGCAAAAAGATCGATTCTCGTTTTTGTGAAATGTCTGAGTTTCATAAACTTTCAAACTTCAGTCTCACTGGGTTTCAGGTATAAAAGATAAGGCCGATATCCCACTTTTATTTGCTTAGCAATTCTGTAGACTGAGAAATTGTTGACAGGTCTACTTAATTGGAGCTCTCTAAAAGACGTAAGTTAACTTACCAGCAAAGAGTACTGTACTTTAGCTGCAGTGCAGTGGTCATACCTTTTCACAGTTGAGTTGTTAGGATGAGTTTCTGCACTCTGATGTCAATTTAACATTTTCCCAAAATGAATGATTGTCTTGCCTGCCCCTCCCTTCATGTCCCATTGTGTCGTGGTTGCTCATTTTTGTTGTTGCTGCTGCTGTTGTTGTTAGACAAGCAAACAAATGGTATGCTTGTGCTGCTGTTTTGCCGTGCAGTGTTCAGCCGTAACATTTAAAACGAATCTTCAGTTGAATGGTTTAAATCACCTATTCTCATAAATCATTCCCTACAGAAGCGATAATGAAGCCTGATAAGGTTGTTGGACTGTCAGAGCATGGCTACAGTCCAAGTGTTCAAAGAATCTTGGAAATCCAATGCACTAGAAGATGCCAAACAGTTTTGGGCAACGCTTTGTTTGAGTGTTGGAGAACGAGCAGCGTTGAAGATACAGTCCCCTTCATATTTCCTTATGTCCAGCGAATCTAGTCCTGCTTCGTGATGCACACACAATCATGCTTCCTGCACGGTCATTACGTCCTCCACGGGTGACTAGTTCTTCCTTCTTCTGCATAGATTGTTTGGTCTGCGTAACCTTGTTTGTAAGAGTGCCACTGTTCTCCAATATGTCTTTTCTCTTTCACACACTGTCGGTCTAACTTTTGTGCACACTGTCTTGCCCATACCCCAGCGGCGTGTAATGACCAGTCAAGATTTTTGCTCACCTCACTCAGAAGTCTCTAGGATAAAGAAAATTTTTCTCATTAAAAGGGCTCATTTCAATAAATAAGCTCTTTACACGAATGCAGAGACATTGTGTGAGTGCGCAAGAGTCTTGCAAGGTCTCTTTTAGCAGCTCCGTCATAAAAGAGAATATGGCAGACACCGAATAGGCAAGCCCTAGACCTGAAATCAGCCAGGAATTTTCCTATGTAATAACGGTAACCTGTGCCAACTATATGGGGGTCCAATACTTTTGTTATTGGTGCCGCGACACTTACCGACAGTTTGACGAGTGTGAAGAGATGGAACAGATTCATTTCTCGAAATATAGGTGGCCCCTCTCAGTCAATGTGATCCAGAGACATCCAATATGGACAGCTCTGAACGCAGCCAATAACTGTGGCTAAACATAGGCTATGGAAGCTGTTGCTTAGAAAATGTTTACACTATTTGCATTTATAAATTGCACTGCTTGCTGCTTAAGCCTTCAAAGACAGCAGGCGAGCTTAATTCGTTTGATGCATCTTCACAAAAAAAAAAAAACGAAAAAAAAGAGCATTGCTTGTCCTGTGCTTGCTTGCCTTTAAGGTAGGGCTGAAGTCAATTTGAACTCCAGTGTTGCCCAATGCATCACGCAAGTAGAGCACACGTATTTTATGTTTTGTCAGTTAAGGAAAAGCATTTATACATAGAGCATACAAACAAGAGCATTAGCCCACACTGTCTATGTCGTACATTCTGTAGAGTACTTTTCTATTAATCCAAATCTGAACAAACTTAACAGAAATCAAGTATTACATGAGGCTTCCAGCAACTGTGTAAGCTTGCAATTTTCAGCAGCTTTTAATTAATCTGTCAAACAACCGACATAAGAGCAATGTGTGACGTAAATGCCATCTTCGAAGCTGCCCTCTGCAGACAGCTCTGGTCATATCAGTCGCTTTTCTTCGCACGTTTTTTTCCCTTCCATTGTGACTTGGTGTGTATACTATTTATGGTGTCTACTTCCATACATTTACTTAAATCGGGCGACAGCGCGCGTGGTTTTTGGCAAACACTAAATCTGTTGAGTTATGTCATGGGTGCCTTTGACGAGAGAGAGTGTGGAAGTGATAACAAATGAAATGTAAACACAACAATCCACGAAGCGCAGTTGATATGTGATTGGACTGCAAATGAAATCAATGTGCAAATAAAACATTGGTTTTACTCTCTGGTCTGAAATAAGCCTTTGATTTCTTTTTTCTCTTCCCTTTTTGACTCTGCACACAGATTATTCGCAGAGATGAAGGGTGTCGTCCTGTGATAGAAACATAGGCAACAAAAAATGTCTAAGACCAGTCTGCCCCCTTAACGGGAGGGTTGTTAGGTATGCACCAGGGCCGACATTGCACGACTTCGCTGTCATCCATTGGTCTGTTTACAATCTCCAATGTCATACAGGATCACAAGAGAGAGGTGTTGGGGTCACCTAATCGAACCTTCTTAAGCCTAGATATAGCTTATATTTACGTGTGAAGCAGTGCACAGAGACAAGGCACAAAAGGAATGAAATTAGAGGACAGTGACTGTCCCATAATTTCATTCCTTTTGTGCCTTGTCTCCACGTACTGCTTCACATGTAAACATGAACTATCACCAACTTGCCAACTTTCAACTTTACTGAGCTAGATATATAGCCACATAAGCGTAGAGAGGGGCAGTTAAGGTGGCAGGCCACCTATAAAAGTGAATTTTTTTTTGTGAGATCAATTATCAGGTTTTTTTAAAGCATGCCCCAACATTCACAAACATGTTGCAACAAAAATGATTCCCCTACCGTCATTACTTTGCGAGTTACAGCAATTTTTCTGTACCCCATGCTGCTATAACGAAACTGAATCCGCATTGCATTGGTTTCGAAAGTAAGTGTTGTATCCTCTATATTAATGATATTCAAAATACATTATAGATTTTATAGCGACTCTTATATAAGAGGATGTCATTAAATAAAACTTTGCGTATATCATTGTTCTTAAATTAAAAAAAAAAAACGGTCACAAAGGGAACGCACGGCGCTCGTTGGAATTTTTGTTGTTTGCCTTGGTAAGCGTACGTCAGGCTTCGTTCTGCATTTGTTCCACGTGTTAACGCTGCTAGGCCTGTATCCTTCGGCCACCTGGACCATATTACAACCAGCATGGCTAAGTGCAGAACACAAAAAACGAGGAAGCGCAAGTTTGCTGGAAATCTTTACAAGAGGAGGCTGTCATCTGACATATACGCCAGGGTTCCTGCAAAGAAGCTTGAGGACGTAGCCAACATATACAAAACTTTACTAGAGAAGTCGGTGCTCCGAAGAAACAGGATAATGGACATTGGTATTCTTTCTTCAGTGTTTTCATGTGTGGCATGTTCCGAATGTATGAACACAACACTGAGGCTCAAGAAACGCCCTCACCAAGGGATATGCTCAGCTTGTGCAGTCATGTGTACAGACTGTGGGTTCGAGCGCCCATTTGATATGGCAAGAAAGGTTGGTTGTGCCAATGAAAACAATTTACGTCTCGTTTACGTGATGCACCCGTTAGGAAAAAGGCATGCTGGTGCAAAAACTTTTTCTAAAGTGATGAACATGCCTGTTCCTCAATGTCACTCCGTCTACAACAAATTATCCTCTTGGCTTTCTGCATCGGCAGAAGTGGCATCACAGTAGATAACCGATGCTGCTGTGGAATTTCGTTGTGTTGTGGGGAGTGCCGAGTGTGGTATTTCAGGTGATGGCATAAGGCAGAAACATGGCCATGCATCTTAGAACGTTTGTGTGTCTGTGATTTCTGCTGACACGGGAAAGGTTATTGATGTTGACGCACTTTTTAGCTCGTGTAAATCTTGCAAGACCAAACGCAAGTTGAGGCTAGATAGCTATTCGTACCAGGAATGAAAGGCAAACCACACTTCCTGTCAAGCAAACTATGAAGGAAGTGCTGGCAGTATGGAGACAGTTGGTCTATACCAAATGTTTTAGAGGTCGAAAGTGAAAAACGCCACGCCTGCGCGAAAGGCGCTGCAGTCACAGCAAAATAGAGAGCAGCTTTTCAGAGCCTTTTCAAAACACTCATTGGGCAACTACTGCAAGCACACTTGCTTCATACCCACTAGGGCATTAATAAGCTTTTGGATAGCAGGCCGACATTTGCTATGCTATTTTTCGCCATGCTTCTGAGAAGCGTGGTATCCGCTAAACACTTGCAAGGAGTTTCGGGCCAATAGTTCATGAAGTGGCCGACAACGATGAGGAATTATGGCTGAAGTGGGTATGCGCCACAGTTAATAAGAGAACAAGAACAAGCTTTTGTAATGGGTTGGAGTATTGGATGGCCCAGTGTTTATGCTATTTGCATTGTGCAACAACAACTGGTTGTCCTTTCGCTGTTTCAAAATGCTTTATAAGTCATTAACGTGATTGCTTTCCCAACATCAAGCCTGCCAGTATTTTAACAAGTCCCAAGCACCAGCATAGCTCAGTGGTATAATACTGGGCTGGCGCCTAGCTGACCCAAGTTCGAACCTCACTGTGTCTTTGGTGCTAGTTTTTTTTCTAATTTTTTGCGATGTGGTTACGAACACCGGCAGCGGACAACTGCCCGTGACCCAAGTTGTGACCTCATAACAGCTTTCACTGTAAAAGAGGCTTGAAGTAACTGCAGTACTACGACGACGGTGATTCCATGAGCTATGCCGCTGCTGAAGACATTTATGGAAAGGACAGTGTGAACAAACTGGAATGCATTGGGCATGTGCTGAAGTGCGTTGGCTGCGGCCACGGAAAACTGAGAAGAGAGTGCATGGACTAGGGTGGTAAGGGAAAACTCACTGACGCCCTCATTGACCGCCTGCAAAAATTGTTTTTGAGTGGCCTACCACCTTCAAGGGCCTGTCAACCACCTCTGGTATTTTCTCAAAAGTTTCAAGTAGACATGCACATTGTGTGCAGAATGCTGTCATGCTCAACGATTCTACATGTGGCAGCGCTACGAGCCACTGGCGCGGCACAAATTAAAAAAGAAAAATTCCTCCTTTCCGGGCCTTTCGTGCCTCCGCGTGACGCACCGATCCAAATATGCTGTGATTGGTCAAGCAAGAACCTACGACTTCTGGTCAGTCTGCAAGCAGCTGCACACAGCTTGTTGTTCGTTAATGGTGTCATCCATTGGCATATTCGAAGCACTTCCGGTAATACTTTATTCTGCTCCATGCGGGGCAAGTCTTCCATTGGCGGATTGAGAGTGTTCTATGTTCCATTGGCAGATCTGGAGCAGCTCCATTGCGAGATCCCCTCCACGGAGCAACTCTTTCTGCTCCGCGGAGATCTGCAGATTTAACCAAACGTCGCAAGCGCCCTGTGCTTTGAACCGGTGTCAACATTGGGCATGGCAACGAAAGCCGGTCACGTCAGTTGAACCTTACGTCAGAGCTCAGGTTTTGCTAACGTAGCGTCGCTGTGTCCAGGCACTTAAGCAAGAAGAGAGACGCCTCGCGTTTCATTCTGACCCCACAATTTGCTCCAGAGGGAGTGCGCGTGTTCCATTGGTAGATTCTCATCTGTTGCTCTCCACTAGAGTGGAGTGCTCCGGCGCAGAGTTCGTGGGTCACTCCGAATCCGCCAATGAATGACGCCTTGAGTTGCCCGCGTGCGCCCGCTTACGAATCAACTGCGGAGATTATCTGGCACGGTGTGTACCTGTATGGGTCCAATTGTGTTGGTGATCCTTTGACGGTGTGTGCGCATCGCAAGGTCTATACTGGTCCGATTAGTGTAGGCACGGCAGCTGTGGTTCGCCAACAAGCATGCAGTCAGAACACAACTGACGGAATCATGTAAATCGGAAGTAGACGGTGTTTCAAGCAGCGATGACATATGCCTCGCGAGATTGGCAAGAGCGCTCGGCGAGAGGGCAAAGTGGCTTTGAAAGAGGATACCATGAAGGGTAGCACAGGAGAGAGTGCACAGTAGGCGCACTTTCTTTCCAAAAAATTTGGCTCCAAGTCCAGGGTGTGCCTATTATGTGAGCTAAAATATTCAACAATTTTACTTCTAACTACAGCATAGACCGTTGAAGCCACGAATATCTGCACTATAACTGAAACAACCTTCTTCATTGGATACTTAGCGCAAAACATGTTTATAATGCCGTCTCGCATGTATGAGAATTAAGGCATGAGATGCTGTGTGCCTACAAGCATTCGAATTTTCAAAAACTAACATAGAAAAACACGCATTGACAGCGAACGTTGTCTTACATGCTAACGGCAAACTATTCATTATACACCATATACCGTTTGGCGGTCCTCAGAGCTCTGAAAAACCAGCGCGTTTTTGTAATTAGTGGCAAGATGGCGCAAGCTGCTTGCATTCGTCGCGCTCTAAATGTCGTACCTCTCGCATTTCGATAAGCACCGCCACAGAGCATGGTCTCTCCTGTGCGCACGCTTATGGGGCTCGTCATTGGGAGAGCACAAAGGTCATTTCGCTTGCTGCCGCCTCATAATTTACAAAAGGAGCACACACACAAAGAAGTACGAATTGTGACAGTTGTTTACGCTTGCCCTGTGTATACTTGTGTGTCGAGCTGCGAACAGTTGTTAGTCCGTGCTCATCTTGTGCATGCTCATTTCGTGCGTGTTCTCTGCTTGAAGTGCGCGCTGTAAGTGTTGAGCTGCTTGTCGTCCTTCGGAATCTGTTGCTGTAGCATTCATTCATTCGCCCCTGTGGTGAAACAATGCACAATAAATGCTCAAATACTCCTGTGAAGGCACGTTTCACTTTCATGTAGTATCGATACCTAGAAAGAAGGATCAGCAACTTTTTTTTTTAGTGTAGGCTTAGCCTATGGTTGAGCATGCTGTCGCGGAGAGTTTGTTCAGACAACATAAAGATTGGGTGTAGAAAAGATCGAACTCGAGCAGTGGTCTAAGAGCAGCTTGCATGATACCAAGTTTAGGTTCGTTGCTGGGAAATCAACGGCGACAAAGGTACGCTTATCTTGAGCAAGTCCAAGTAGTGTCAGCAAAGGGAAACTCTCGTGCCTGAATACCGAAAAGCTATAAAATTTGGTAACATGGAGCAAACACGACAACGACGATGCCGTTTCTGACGCGAAAACTCAAAGCGCATTTGATGAGGATGCGGTCACGTTTCATGAGGAGTGTGAGCGGCGGGTCCAAAGGTTGACGCCTACATAACC